CCTGGGCAAGTAGGATAAGCCACAAGTGCTGGCCCAGACAACAACCCTTTCCCACAAGGGAAAGATAGAACATTCTAATAAATGTACATAAAATGCTCAGAAAAGGTCACTGCATCTGAAATGTTATTTTTTTCTTCAGATGCTGCCAGACCTGCTGAGCTTTTCCAGCAACTTCTGTTTTTGTTCCTTATTTACAGCAGCCACAGTTCTTTGGGTTTTTTTATAAAAAAATCCCCTTACTGCTTTAAGTAAATTGGTGCAAGGAAACTCAGATTAGATTTGGGGAGTTTTATGCAATTTATCCCCTTAAAACAAAGCCCTGACACTTCATTCTTTCCTGAAAATTTCCATTTACAAACACTCCATTGAAGCCTAATAAAAAGGTTTTAGGCAATTAAAACTTGAAACTGGGACAAAGACCAATGGAAGTGATTGAATTAAACACATCGCCAGCCATTCAGCACATTTGCAAATTCATTGTCAGAACTGGTCTCGCCTCATCCATCACCGATTTGGTCTTTGGGTGGGGGAAGAAGAGTGATCTAAACTAGGACGTATTTGCTGTCCTCCCGTTCCTACAGAGAGCCTGGTTTAAACACGACTGATACTCCAGTCTCTCCTAATGCACTTCAAAAACCAAACGCACAACCGATTGCCCCGAACAACCAGCACAGACATTTCTTACACCCGAACACGGCGGCACCAAGCCTTTTATTCGAATTTGTAATGAAGTGATTTTAAAGCAGCAAATTTAATGCTTTATATTCAGCAACAGCTATTATTAATTCTTTAGGGACTGCCAGTATTAAAAAGTGGACAAAGACCAAAACCATAAAGCCTAGTGTTGGCGAGACACCCCTCCCTCCCGTCTCCCCACCACCACCTTCCCCCGCCCCACCCCCCTCCATCTCCCCCCCCCTTCCCAAGGGAGCCCAGCTGGTATGGGTAAAGCAGGGAGTGTGGCAGGGAGGGTCCACCGGCAGCAAGGAGCTGCATTCCCCCCCCCCCCCCCCCCCCCATCCCCGTGACCCCCGGGGGTAGGGACAGAATGTGAAGCATTTACAAACAGCCCTGACGTTCGCTGCCGGGAGCGGTCCGCTATACAAGTCCCCAACATAAAGCACAGCTTGGAACCCAGTGATCCGGCGAACCAGACTCCTCTAACAGCCGCCACACCCTGGACCCTAAGCAGCTCACTGAGCCCCCGGGACTAGGGATAGAGGGAGGCTCCTTACTCCTGCCACTGGAGATTCCCAAATATTCCACTTTTGGGTAAAATCCAGCCCCCACCCCCCAGCACAAGCAGGAGTAAGCGGTTCGCCGACTTTAACAGAGCAGCTCCAACCCCCTCTCCCCGAGGCACATGGACGGAGGGATTTAGGAACAGATTCCGTTTGTGATAACACCGCGTTGTCGGGGGGGGTGGGAGGGAAGGGCTGATGTCTCTTACACCCCCACACGGA